CGTTGTGTCGATGTATTTGTTGAAGCGTTTCCGCTATTAATGATTGTGACCAAATGTACGCGTCGTGACTGCTTCCCGGGAACCGAGCATTGACATTCAATATTTTCAGATTCTCGTCACATACCTGCAGAAAAATATGCTTTTTCACTATACTTTATTTCAATACTTATAGATGGAAAAAGTTTTTGTTGATTCAAATGAACAGTTTTTTTCGGTTTAGATAAATAATTCATAGCTTTTTTGTTATAAATATAATTGTACCTAAGTATTTACGTACCAGTTGAACGTTAATAGAATGATACTGCTTCCTATTTAGGTAAATATGTTCCGGATTATTTTCGTCATTTCTAGGAGGTCGCACTATTGCGACATGAGTGCAGTCTATAATTCCAACAACTCCTGGAAAGTTATACTTTTCAAAAAATCTGAAGCAAAATCAGTACTTAATGTTATCCATAATTTCACAAGAACTCTGCCAATTTACCTATTTCTTAATGCCGTCAGCTCCTCGAAGTTTCTAGGAAAACAAACGTACGTATTAAATATTTCAGGCCTACCCAAAGCATCTGCAACTTCATGAATTGCTCTGCTAACTGCCGCTTGGCTAACAGCGGTGTATATGTTAGTACCGGTAATTTCCTGGTAACTACCAGTGGCAAAAAACTTCAAAGCAATTAGAACCTAAAATAGCGTACACAACCGTTATATATATATATATATATATATATATATATATATATATAATATATATAAAATTAATTTTTGTAAATAAAACTACAAAGTATACCTTTGTTTCCACGCTTAATGCTGAAATTCTTGAGGCGTCTTGCACAAAAGGAGTTACCAGTGCAATAATATTTCGGGTTAATTCCTTACTTAACCTAAAGTATTTTCTAAATTTTTCATCAGATAAATCAAAGGCAGATTTTCGGGTAAGGAATTCTCGGTCAGGTTCATTGATTTGCGCCTCAGCGTCTTCAACATCATTAATAATATGATACAATAAAATTTCTTCAAAATTCATTGTTCGCTGTGATAAACATTTATAAACGCAGGTAATATGTCATCGACTTATTCGTTCTCCTACAATTAACCCATGCGATGAACGCACCGCACAAAATCATGCGGAGGGAAGGATCACAGCTTTCGAGAATGCATTTTTGTTAAAAGTCGCACGATTTTGTGTAGCCCCGCCCTCTTTCGCATGATGTGATCTATCGCACAACTCCAGTATAAGGACCCAGTAGTCCCTATAGGGAGATCAACTGTATGTACAGTGGTCAACGAAGTACTTCAAGTTTTATGGGAGGTTTTGATGCCTATAGTTTTAGTTTCACCAAATGAGGAGAATTTTAAACAGATTGCAACAGATTTCGAAAAGAAATGGAATTTGCCGCTACGTACAGGCATGCAGTATTGATGGAAAGCATGTTAAAATTTTGGCTCCTGCTCAATCCGGATCATTGTATTACAACTACAAAAATTACTTCAGTATTGTTTTACTGGGCATTTGTGATGGCAATTAAAATTTTATATATGGGGCAAAACACCTCAAGTGTTCCCACCTAAAAAAAAGAATTTAATTCTCTATCGACATTTACTTCTAAAAAATTTAAAATTTTTGGCGCTTGTGTCGTTTTGCCTTAAACTCATCGATTGTATTGCAATAGTTTAAATTAATTGCAATTAAAACCCATGTTTTGGTTTTTGTAGTCGAAAAAGAAAAATGTAGAAAGTAATAAGTTGCTCTTACTCTGAATAAATGTCACGTGCACGTAAATGTAAATAAGTTCTACTATTTAATGCAATTGCAAGTGTCTCACAATAATAATAAATATTTTTCATGTAAACTTTTTATTGAACATTTTTGGGAAAACAAAGCAAACGATATTTTTTTTAAGTACAAAATTCCTTTTCCGTTAGAAACAAATAAGTGATATTTCTGTGTCCCAGGAATTGATTTTGTAGAATCAAATCGCTTTTTAAGAATTTCAGCTGTTTTCATATGATATTTTTCAGAATGAAAAATAATTTTGTTTCTTTCAAACTTTTTTGAGCCTATTCATACAAATCTTTGGCATCTAGAATTGGATTTTTTGATTTTGCCTGTAAACTTGCGCGGGCAGCGAGTCTTTTTAAATTTAAAAATAGGTAAAATGTTCAATAAAAAGTTTACATGAAAAATGTTTATTATTATTGTGAGACACTTGCAATTGCATTAAATAGTAGAACTTATTTACATTTACGTGCACGTCTGATTTATTCAGAGTAAGAGCATGCTCTTAGGACCGCTATAATCAGTGCCAAAGAAGTACAAGATCGCTAATAGAACGGTGCAACGGGGTGTTGAAGCTGAGGTTTCGATGTTTGCTGAAACATCGCGTTTTACATTACAGTCCAGAAATTTCTTCAAAAATTATTAACAGCTGCGTGGTGTTACATAATATGTGTATCAATAATAACATACCACCTATTGAGTTCGGTGAAGATGAAGAAGATCAATTTATTAACATTAATTATGGCATGTACCATGAAGACCACGCTGAAGAGGCCCATAATGGTAATAGAGTCAATCCAGAGTTACTTGCCGGGCGCCGCACAGTTGTCAATTTTGATCGAAAAACGAACTTTTTTCATAACTTTTTTAAATGTTGACCAATTTATATGAAATTTTGTTTACTTACTTTAAAAAAACTGCAGAATATACTGGTACATATATTTTTTAGCTTACTTATTTCCAACAACCCTTTACAGGGGGTTGCAAATTTAATATTGATCAATTTGTATGAAATTTTGTATACTTACCGAAAAAGGGCCCTAGAATACAGTGGTATATATAAATTTTTTTACTTAACCTATGTCCAACCCTTTACAGGGGGTTGCAAATTTAATATTGACCAATTTGTATGAAATTTTGTATACTTACCTAAAAAGAGCCTTAAAATACAGTGGTATATATATTTTTTTACTTAACCTATTTCCAACCCTTTACAGGGGGTCGCAAATTTAATATTGACCAATTTATATGAAATTTTATATACTTACGTAAAAAGAGTCATACAATACAGTGGTAATTATGTTTTTTACCTAACTTATTTCCAATAACCCTTTACAAGGGGTTGCAAATTTAATATTGACCAATTTACAGGGTCCGGCAACAGAATTGAACGGTTTTAAAAATGCTGCTATGGAAATACTCTTGATTTGATATATGTCAAATAGTGACAGACTTGTACCTTATTGCCGAAAGTTTCGTGGCTGCTATGGAAATACTACATATTGATTTAATATATGTCAAATAGTGACAGACTTGTTCCTTATTGCCGAAAGTTTCGTGTACAATGGCAATTAAAAATTGTGTGCAGAAATTGAGTCGATTGACTTTATCAATGGGATTTAGCCTTTGGACTGTCGGTTTTTTGGATGGCGTTTTAAATCCAGATGTAAAATTCGTCCCAAAATTCGGTCTGAAATGTGTAGAGCAATCGAGTGCCGCTCAAACGCTTCTCTGACTCTTCCAATATTTTTTTGTGTACAAACTACGAGTTCCAGCGGAAAATTTTGATTTTACACTGCCTCTTTCGTTAAAATCTCTTACCCATCTCAAAAGGGCATTTTTTTATGGGACTTCAGCTCGCACTGGAAAATTATATTCACGACGAAAGCGTCTCTGCGTTTGTACGAAGGATTGGGTCAGGGTAAACGAATTTACAGCAAATATCCGTTGATTAACCGGCCAGTTTGACATTGCACACGAAACCTTCGGCAATAAGCATTATTTGGCATATACCAAATCAATAGTATTTCCATAGCAGCCTTTTCAAAACCGTTCAATTCTGATGCCGGACCCTGTATATGAAATTTTATATACTTACCTAAAAAGAGCGGTATAATATAGTGGCAAATATTTGTTTTACCTAACTTATTTCCAACAACCCTATAGAGGGGGTTGCAAATTTACATTAACATGAAATTGACCCATACATACCTGGGTGCCTATTCTTGAAAGCAAGAGAAAGGAGTGGTCCCTTGGAGCTCCCGGAGAGCTTCCCCTCATTTGTACTCCCTGATATAAAAATGTCGTATTCTTAAAACATCAAACGCACCGGCGAGAATCAAAAAGGGATTTAAATCAGGGAACAACGTTGCCGTTTATTTAACCAATAAAATTACAAAACATTTTGACAAAGAACACACATAACCTAAGTTTCTGTCATTGTTTTGATGTTTTTTTTAATTTTAATGGTTTGTGTTTGATAAAAACAGAAATGGAAATAAAAGCAAAACAATAAACTGCGAAACAAAAACAAGTTTTAGTGGATTTCGTTCACTCACAACCCGATATGTACAAGGGAAAATTAAAATTATACAAATGCCATAAGTACAGACTTATGGAAAGAAGCGTCATGCATTTTAAATGCAATTCCAGGAGGGGTCAGTAAGGACTGGAAACAGTGGAGAAAGGCAGAGGTTCTTGTGGGTTCGGCTAAGAAAGGGGTGACATTGTCAATTATATCATGAAATAGCTCCTTATCCACCCTGAATAGCTGCACAAATTCAGATCAGATAATTGAAGTGCATTTGTCTTTGGCAGAACATCCCTCCCAATAGCCAATTCTGCCACCGCTTTCTCAACATCCCTGTTAATAATTTCATTCCACAGAATTAAATTAAAAATGTGTATATTATTTTATTTTGAAACTGACACAATAAACACTGGGTACACAAATTTAGGTTAGGTTTGCTGTTTCTCTCAGCCTCTAGTTAGAGAACTTTAAGTTCTCTTGGGAGTAGCTCCCTCCCTTAGTATTTTTTCAAGAATACCGGATTCTATATTTTTCTTAAACCACGCCCACTTCTCTCGCAAGTTCTACTCCCTGACATTCAAGAATAGGCACCCTGAAATAGAGAAGACCACTGAAGAAAAAATATTAGAAATAGTAACACCAGTCGCAATTCAGGGAAATGAGGATGTACCTGAATCAGAAATTATATTTGAAATGTTCAATGAGTATGAGATTGAGGACAATTCGCAGGTGGTCAATGTTGGGGGGCCAAAACAGACCACAGAAAGCAATGAAAATTACAATCCTATGGAAATTGAGAAAGGACATGCTGATGAAATAAGAGAGGATATGCAAGACCCAAGACTTGACCATATATATCAAGTACAAAACAGTAAACCAGGTACAAGTGGGCCCACCAAAAAGGGAGAAGTTAAAGGACTAAAAAAAAGATATACAAAGTCAGCAAGGTTGACTGATTCTATAAAAAATAACAAAAAGTTCCTTGAAATAAGCCAGAAAGGCATTGTTTCCACAGATACTTACAGGGAAACAAAATTACAGTTACTTAAAAAACATTATGAAACCAAAGCAAATTATTATCAACAAAAAATAGAGGCTCTAAAAAGTAAGGAAAACTGTAATGAAAGAATAATTAATATTTTAACAAATATTTCAAATGCAGTCAATAAAATTGTTCCTGTAACTAAATGAGATTAATTTAGATGTTTTAAATTTAGTTTTTTTTGTTCTAATTAAGTTTTATATTGATCTCATCTTATGCCAATTTTTTGATAATTAAAAAAGAAGTTTATTATTTAAGTTATTAGAAAAAAATATTTATGTTTTGTTAAGTTTTTCTTGCAAATTTTGTAAAAATTAAAAAAGAAGCTTATTATTTATGTTAGTAGAAAAAAATACTTATGTTTTATTTAGTTTAATATATTTTCGTTTATTGAAATATTTACGATTTATTTAATTTCATTATTTCATTTAGGTTTTTTGTGGAAAAAACATATATTTATTAATAATAAATACATAAATATGTATATGGGAAGAATAAAACAATTTGCATTATTAGTCATGTTTTATTTTAGTTACAAATGCATACAAAATGGGTCACCTACCTAACAAAATAATAAAAAACCTAACAAACTAACAAATATATAAAGTAAAAAGTATATAAAAATTTAATGTTAATTATTAATCATTAAAATGATTAGCAATAATGTTCTGCTGCAAATCCCTTCCAGCTGCCAAATCATGGTTAATTACCTGTGGCATATTCTCCACAAAATTTGCAATATTGTACATGCCATAATCAGGCTCTTCAATATGTTCTTCATATGGTTCTGGAATATTTCTTTCTATACATAAATTGTGGAGAACACAACAGGCATTTACAATTTTTCCAGCTGTTGTTGGGTGGTAATGTAAAGTGCGATATCTTAACAAACACCTAAATCGGTTCTTAAGTACACCATTACACCGTTCAATGATGCATCTTATAGAACATAATCTGTCATTATACCGCTGTTGTCCAACATTATGAGGATTTAAAATTGGAGTAAGTAACCAAGGGCGAGTAGGATACCCTAAAATTAAAACATATTTTTGTAAAGTGTTAATATAAAATCAAAAAGAATGTAATACTTTCTCATTTTCGTTGTCTTATAATTTCTTAATAAAGACTCACCTGAATCGCCTAGCAAGAAAAAAACATTTGCAGGATCTCTCCTATATAATTGTTCCATTAAATTGGAGACTGCCGATTCTTTCCAAATGTGTGCATCATGGGTGGACCCTGGAAATCTTGAGTTCACATTCAATATTTTCAAATTATTATCACAAATCTCACAAAAGTAAATAAATACACTTAGAGATAGGTATTATTTTGAAATTTTATTAAAAACTTACTAGTTGTACATTAACTGAGTGATAATTCTTTCGATTTACATAAACATACTCTGGAGCATGCATCATTGGTTGGTGGAGCCACAATGCTTACATGGGTACAGTCAATGCACCCAATTATTCCAGGAAATTGGTAATTTTCATAAAACCTAAAAAATAATAAATGATGAATAATGAAAAAGTCAATACATTACCTAAGCCAAAATTTATTTGCAAATAAATATTATCTTAAAGGTTTGCATGTTAATCATTGCGCGCTGAATAAATCTCAGACATGTAAGTAGTAATGTTGTACGCGTCTTTTACATTTGATGCAGCGGCAAATAGGTACTCACATGTCTTTAAACACTGTTTTGGATGAGAGCGCGTAATGATTCACATGCAAACATTCGTGGTGTAATACACCAGGTGTATACCTACTGTAGGTAAAAGTCTCACCCACTATGTGGGTCCCACATAATATATTGGATTGCCTAATTTGGCAATATTTATTTTCATACCTAGTTCGAACCGTTTGCAACTCTTCAATATTTCGAGGAAACCTTATAACATTATTTAAAATTTCATTTTGGTTAAGTGCATTTGTGACCTCATTAACAGCTCGACTGGTTGAAGACTGGCTAATGGCCACAAAACTGTTTGAACCAGTAATTTCCTGGTAGCTGCCTGATGCATAAAACCTTAGGGCAGCAAGTACCTAAAAGTCATTTTAAATTTTAAGTTTTTTTTAAATAATGCAGAAGTAGATAGGTACATAGCATCATGCTATTAGCATGCTTTAAATAACTACAATTTTTTTCGTTACTTACTTTGGTTTCTATGGGTAGGGCAGAGGTTCTTGTGGGTTCGGCTAAAAAAGGGGTGACATTTTCAATTAAATCATGAAATAGCTCCTTATCCACCCTGAATAGCTGCACAAATTTTCTATCAGATAATTGAAGTGCATTTGTCTGAGGCAGAACATCCCTCCCAATAGCCAATTCTGCCACCGCTTCCTCAACATCCCTGTTAATAATTTCGTTCCACAGAATTAAATTAAAAATGTCCATATTATTTCTTTATTTTGACAATAAACACAATAATCACTACACAAATTTAGGTTAGGTTTGCTGTTTCTCTCAGCATCTAGTTGGAGAACTTTAAGTTCTTTTGGGAGTAGCTCCCTCCCCTTTTTCAAGAATACCGGATTCTATATTTTTCTTAAACCACGCCCACTTCTCTCGCAAGTTCTACTCCCTTAAATTCAAGAATAGGCACCTTGGGAGTAGCTCCCTCCCTTAGTATTTTTTCAAGAATACCGGATTCTATATTTTTCTTAAACCACGCCCACTTCTCTCGCAAGTTCTACTCCCTGACATTCAAGAATAGGCACCCTGGTGTATTTCAACTAAAAACTAATAAAAAAATTGTATTTATCCATATTTATTTCTAGAATAAAATTTACAATTTACAATTTTCACCTAAATCTTCGGATCTATTTTCATCTTTCTTCATCTGCTTCATCATCTTCAACTTCTTCATCATCCTCATTCTCGTCATCATTCTCTTCATCATTCACTTCATCATTCTCTTCTTCATTCTCTTTATCATTCTCTTCATCATTCTCTTCATCATTCTCATCGTCATTCTTATCATCACTCTCGTCATCACTGTCAACATCACTGTCAAAATCACTGTCAACATCACTGTCATCATCACTGTTATCATCATCATTCTCATCATCATTCTCGTGGATTAATATAAAAGGCCGGATATCAGAACTTAACTTCATTTTTTCCCCTGATGGCCAAACTGCTTAGATATGGATCGGAACTAATTATCAGTCTCTTGAAAAGATCTTTATTTACCCTTTTTAAATTTACTTTAGTTGTAAACGCGTCTCTAAATTTTCTAATATCTTTATTTTTTGCTTCTTGTGCTTCCTCGGATAGCTCACCAATTGGCAATATTGCTTCGCCAATTACGGAAGCACCACGTATTAAAATGGTATGTACAGAAGTCGGCATGTGATACCAATTGTACAATTCGACAAATCTTTTGGCAGTTGACAAGCAATATTCTTTAAAATATTCTATATTGATTTGGTAACCAGAATTAATTACTCGCAAAATAATAGCAAATCTTTTTATAAGATCTTCGTCCATTCCTACAAAAAAATAAGTTAACTTTGGAATAAAAATCATTATTGAGTTAACTTACCGGTAACCTCTGCAGACAAAGAAGGGTTATCAAAAAAGCTCCTAGCTGTGTTTCCATCATTTGTGCTCCCGTGCCCTTGCCTAACACAGTCCACTTGAATCCCCATCTTTGATCGAAATTCTACTTGAATTTTCTTTTTTCTCTCAGAAAATTGTATTTAATTGTCTTTGGTGACCTTCCAAACTTTAAGTTCTAAACGATATGCTACATGAAGCAAACATTCAAAAAACCGAATATATGCATGTAGGGTAGACAGTCCATACTTTAAAACATCTTGTTTTTCTGGAAGACTTAAGCTTAATTTTTATGTATCCGTTTGTCCGTCAGTCCGTTCATCCGGGAGCGCTCTTATTGGTCCAATTATAATTCGAAAATTATGACATTTTATCGGTCCGTCAAGTTTCAACTTTGTACGTCTGCCAGAGTAAGGTTAAATAATTTTAACTCATCCGTCACTAAACATCTGTTTTTGACGCCTAACGTTATTTGAAGATAATTTATTTTTAAATATTTTTATATTTTTTCAATAAGATTGTAAAACGAAAATATTACGTTCTTTATGTGAATAATGTTTTACTGTTAAGTTTTTATTTAATAAGAATAACGAAAAAAAAGAAAGGACAAACAAAAAAAAATTAAAACCAGAACTAAAAGGACCTGATTTTTTAAAACTATACAATTTAATGTATATTAGGGCTAGTATATTCTTTTTATAAGGTATATTTACCTACCTTTAAATTTATTAGACAGCTAACTGTTAAAGTTACAATTGTTGACATAATTGTAACTATGACAATTAAGCATTAGGTAAATTTAGTAAGTGAATATACTGACACTTAATTTCTATTTGTCGCAAAATCAATCCGTCAAACGTCATTAAAAAACGTATGCATGAAAATTAGAACATTTCTTATCGGACGATTTTATTGAAAAACTGACATACGGATGACGGACAAACGGATACATGAAAATTAAGCTTTAGAACAAAATCAATGTCATTCATTTTGGAAATTTTTACTTCGCAAATATGGCAAGTCATACTAGACGTTCTTGTTATCGCCCCACAAGCCTAAAAATAATAAAAATAATTAGATTTTGATATCATGATCCGACTGATAGGGTACCAGCTCTTCTATTTCCCCGTTGACAGCAGCCTCTTCATCCCTTGTTATTTCGTCAGTTTCCTTCACCCGACGTAATCTTATCGACCGACAATACATTTTTGACGATGGTCTTGGATTTTTCCAAACTACTTCGGAGGTTTTCTCGCAGACTAACCTAAGTGGCACCAATGAAGTAACAAATAGCCTTTCATCAGATTGAACAGTTTCTTCATCTTTTTTATATTTAAAACTAGTATATCCCGAACTTCCATCAAACCCCTACTTGCAAATTAAAACTAACGACCGACTTTCTACGGATTCGTTTCCCACACATAGTACGACACTTTCGTTTTATTTAAAATTGATTGTAAAGGAACTTCGCATAAACTATTGGAAATTGAAATATTCTCTGGATAATATTTTTTTTTTCTCCTCTGGGTGGCGATTCTCGAGTTCAATCGAACAGTTTTCGCATGCGAAAGTGTCAAGATTTCGAAT